CCCTTTCGTGTCTCCTTTTATATACTTCGCTTGAAGTATACCCGACGTGATGGTCTGAACGCGTGGTTTTCCGACAGTTTGAAGAGTCGCTTATCTCTTCCCTTTTTCTTTTACATTTAATTCTTCTTGCTGTATTTGGATCTGGTGAAGAGCTAGGAGACGGTCTTGACAAGATGGTTGTGTTTTCGACTGCGAGGAATTTGCGGGCGACTATGGCGCTGTGTTCGATTCTGGCGATAGTGTTTGGAGTCGTCACCATGTACTCGAACATCAGTGGAGGAGTGCTGGTGGGCAGATTCCTCAGGCGTGGGCGACATGTTTGGCTTGGAGTTTTGGTCATGTCGGGAGAAGACCGACCCGAAACGCACACCATAGACTTGGACTACGATGACCGGTCCGACGAAATGGCCGTTTGGTTCAGCGCTGGATTCTGCATTCTTGCTGGTTCGCTTGGATTGTTGAAGATTTGCGTCGATGCGTATCAAAGGAGGAGAATCAATTTGGGTGGATTCGTGGGTGCTCCAATTACTCGCTCGAAGATACATGTCAGGCTAACGCACCAGCAGTACGAGACTTCCACGTCCCTATTCTGGACCATTTTATCTCATATTCCAGCATTCACGGCACTCATTGCTTTCGTTATGACTTTTGCCTCCGCTGTATACACATGGCAACAACGCCTCACCATGCAGCAAAACACTTGCTACTGGCAGCTCGGCGAGAAAGGTGATGCCGTTTTCAAATGCACACGCGAGCTTGCAGTCTGCGAGATCTCACCCTACCTCCTGAAGAACGACGTTAGCGAGCGAGCACGGAGTCTACGACAAAAAGCTTGTGAGCAGCTGGTACATTCCCCTTCGTATTCTGTCTTTGGCCCTTAGGCTAACGTTCATCATAGCAATTCTCCCGTGCAACAATGCTTGTTCTTGTTGTTGCACTATTGTACTTAGTAGGAAGTTACGGAGCACAGTTATACCTAGTCAGGAGAGAAACAAGGTCAATCGCGAGTATGGATGAGAAGATTGCGTCCGCGAGATCAAGTACAGACTCGCATGGACGCAGGGAGCGAGGGCGGCGGCATTCTTGGAGCTCAAGTATCAGTTCGCAAAGTGTAGAGAAGGCAGAATAAAATTTTCGCTTTCATCGTCAAACTGATCCATGTGTTAAACTTTTGATGTTTCCTGACGCCCGCAATGCCTTTCCTGACCGAAAAGAAAACCCCCCTGCCAGGCAACAAGAATGCATCTCTGAATCCACGTGAACAAATTTAGGGCCCATAACCACAACCATCCATTTCACTATCACTGCTTGCTCCCCTCGGCATGATCAATGCCCGACCATGACTGAACCCTCGCCTAAATCCTTCCTGCGAGCCCATGGCATAGCCACGCCTCATGCCCTCTTGATAGGCTGCCAGGAGCTGCATCTCGTTGCTGCAGGAAGTGAGGGACGCGTCAAGTACGCTACTCTGGACCGGAGTATATATTGATGCCGTAGGATTCAAGTTGGTTGACGCTGGTCCGCTAGGCGCCTGGAGCTGGCTCGTCGCAGCCGCTAAGTGTGGACTCGCATGAAAGGTTTCGTGCTGGAGAAAAGTTAAACGAAGTCATGAGAGATCTGGGGCGACTTGCATTGGGCTGCTTCGCTCGGGTAATGTCTGATTTATGAGTGAGTGGAAGATCACTTGAGACGCGGGTCTCACTGAGACCGTTCGCTTCCCGGGCGAGGCGGAGAAGGACGTCCAATTTGTCTCCTACGCTTGAGTCGTCGTGTTTTTCCTTGCCCATAGAGGAAGCCACTGCGGAATTTTGCGTAGTCATTGCGATGACCTGTATGGCCGTGGTAATGACTTTGTGCCGGTGGAACGAGTGATCGAGGATGTTGGCATCTAACGAGTTGACGGAAACAGGTGCGGTAAGAGAGACACAAATGCTAGATTGTATATCGAATCTCAGCGCTGCCCTCTCACCTTCCGCATGTGCATGTTTGGGTCTACCCTCACGTGGGCATGGAGTGCATACAAGCCAGTACTACTTTATAAAGGTGGAAGAGAATTGGATTTCTCAAATACAAGACCCTCTGCACCGAAGCTACTATACTACATCGAATGCGAAGAGTAGCGTTACCAATTTTGCCAAGTGAAGGCAAGTAAAATCTCGATTTCATTGATCGGCAACATCGCGTTGGCAATTCAGCGACCAATCTACAATTATTCCGATGCGCCATGGTCTACCACCTCGATGTTGTTCCTGTGCAGCGTTAGTTCTCGGCTACATATCGAACGACGAGGAGACATACCCAACAGGATCGAAAACAAATGCCGCATAGTATTTTGGATGATACATATGTCTCAGCCCCGGTGTTCCGTTACACTTTCCTCCTGCCTTGATTCCTTCTTCGTGGAATTGGTCCACAGTTGCGCGATCATTGCATCCGAATCCGATATGTGTAGTTCCGAAGGGACCTTTCGATGCGCCAATCCAGAATTTAACTTTGTACTTGTCGGTTCCTAGGCCAACAGCGTGACCTGGGAAATCTTTCCACTTGGCATAACCCAGTGGTGCAAGAGCTGCGAGATACCAATTGGTTACCTCCTCCAGGCGGTCGGCTGGGACGTTGATTAGGACGTGGTCTAGCATTGTTGGGATGAAGGGACAGCGGGTGGAACAAGAATTTGCTAGAAGAGATTATAAGAATGCTTTCGTTCTGCTCGCTGGAAAAGCCGTTTTTGAATTCCTGTTATCTCAATGCTTCTTTAACTGACACTGGGTAGTCTGAAGCGGAGTCCGCGGGTGTGTCTTAGGCCAGCTACTTGGTCGAAAGCGGGGTCAAGGGCTGACTGGAGATCTCCAATCGGGCGCATTCCGTATCGCGTTGTCCAGTGACCTCGCGTTCGTTGTCTTTAGCTTAGGCTGCAGTACCGGGCCATGACGCATCTTCGCTTCATGCTGACGGTGCTTTCGTTTCCGTAGACGCGAATCGATGGATCGGCGAAACACTTGCGGTGAATTGGTGGTCAAAAGAGGAATGCAGATCATGAGAATTACGCTTCTTGTATGCTATAATCTAGGCTGTAAACCGTCCTAGAAACGATCGGATATCTCTCTGATGCACCGCTCTTGATATGTTGATGTTCGACCGACTGTGAAGCTCATTGGATGCTGCCAAATAGGGCCTAGTTTGACGCTCTCCACCCTTTGCACAGGCGACGCGTCGAGTTTCATCCAACATCGATACTCAAACAATGGATCACGCTATGGATCCAGCCGTTATCGCATTTGGAGACATGAAGATCACGCGTCCAAGCCTATCGAGAATTGTCAAAAACAAATCGATGACCTCGCCGCTGTGCTTGCGAATCACTTTGTACATGGGCTGAGTCTTCAAGATGAGTGCGTTGTCAAATCTCACGAAGCCTTGTAGCTTCATCGTCGGAAACTGAACAATTGCAATCTCGGCGAAGAAGACTACTCGATAAGAAGCAATATACGACCATCATATCTCCTCTACCTGCCTCCGCGCATCCCCCAACCTTGTCTCCAGTTCCAACAAAGCACGCATAGGTGACACACAAACATCGCCATGCATCCCCAGCGCCCAAGCATATCGTGAACGCACTGCAGGTTCTGTATTGTACGGCGACTGCGCTCGCTTTGTGTCATGTCCAATCCGATCCCAATCGCAGAGGTTGATAGTCCTGGTGGCCAGGTCATGACAACTTTGTAATACTCGCCACTTTAGCACGATCAGGTCGTGGTGCTCGCCCCCTTGATCTTTTTCATCTGCTATGGTGATGCGAACTACGGCCCTGCTTGAGTCGCGAAGGAGTGCGCGCGCTGATAAGGCACATGTTTTGATTAGATCGTCGTGCTTTCCCTAAGCGTAGGATCGCATGCTGCTGTAAGTTGGAGATGCAAATCTAGAATCGATATGGAGGTTGGAAGGCATGGGGCATAGTTGTTGAATTAAGTCTTTTATGTAATGCTACGAGGTATGTACCATGCCAATCACCAGTGACATATGGAGTGTATAAATGACAGCGTTGAGCCAGCGAAGTCAGAAGTGCTGAGTTTTCTCCAGAATTCACTCACTCCTGGCCAAGCAGTATTCGCTTTCCATGTGACAGCAATATGGACACCATGTTTAGATACGGACTACCGTGTCATAGCCTACTTGTCTTACTTGTTTATAAAAGTGTCCATGAATGTCGAGCCGCGGCATGATCGGAAGCAGTGCAGCAGCATCGCTCGCAAAGTATAGACCTTACCCTTTGCACACCCCACAAGCTCGAGTATATTTGTTTCATGTTAAAGTTTGCGACAAAGAAGTGGTTAGCTTTGTGTATACCGGCAGTCCAACGGATAGTATATTATCAATTAATCACCGAACATCTTAAAGTGGTGATTTAAGCATCGTTGGGGAATCCGTAGTCTTGTCGCTATGACGAGATATTATCGCATTCGCTCGTCATAATCTCTGGCTTCGTGCCCACCGCCAATGTAAGGCATTGTTAGCAAGAACATAGCTCGGTTCCTAGTAACACGTCGACGATGAAGGTTCTGGACCTGGCAAACCTCGCTGGGAAATCACCTACCGGACTCCGCGAGCCCTGATCATTTCCCGGCGTAGCTGTTAACATGCGGAAGTGATGTCCAAATTTCACTTCCAGCACAGTAGTTGACACTTAATTGTTCATAAATTAAGCTGCGAAAAAAGGCAGGGACTTTTACCTAAGACCACAAGATGGTGATACTATGGGCTGTCGTGGGAGCAAAAAAGAACGGTGTGGCTAAGAATGGTTTTGACTATCGATGGCCAGAGGGATGATCGAACTCGGGTCATAGAAGAATTCTAACTCCCTTATCTAGTACGCAGCATTAATGACGCAGCACGATGCCGAATCACAGCCTCATTCACCTTGAAAAAGGCACAGGCGAATGATTGGCAAGCATCACTCATTTGAATGCACGCGAAGCAAAAAAGAGCAAAAAAGAAGTTTGTAGCTAAGAATGGTTTCGATCCATTGTCCTCCGGGTTATGAGCCCGGCGCGCTTCCGCTGCGCCACTCAGCTTTTGAACTGTTTGATGAAAGACTTGTGAATTAGTTAAAATATAATCATGATGATGAAAATTTGTATGAAAATGCCGTGAAGTGAGACAAGTCGATTTGTGATGACTCTTGTGGAATCGCCCCACTTCTGCAAGATTTTGCGCGTCCAGGGTTCACAAGCGAGCCACAGAACGCAGGTAAATGACTTGGCACCCTACGCTTCGGCACGTTCGGGCGACTGAACTATTGACTCAAGCATGATACAAAATGACACCATACCGCAATGGGTGTGTTAGGGGTTCCTGGAGTACATCACATGCGTTTGGCGTAATCAAGAACGTTTTGTTGCCACCGCACTGCTAGACAATAGACTAGAGGGCTCGAGCTACTTTTTCCTATGGAGGATAGGTATAAACTGCGATACACAAGACGTCGAAAATTTATCCGGCTCCGCAGCAACATACAACCAACGTTGGGGAGAAGAAGATCAGACTCTAGGTTCATTTCGCGGCTGGCTTTTGAACGGGTAGAAGTCCAAAATTGAAGCAAAGCGTGAATGCCAACTTCTGACACAGGATGATATTGCATTTCTATGTACTTAGTCGAAGATTGTTCATGTTCGGGGAATTGTTTGCGGAGGTGCGCTGGTTATAGTCGGTTCGAAGATGAATGAGACGAAAGCGGCTTAGCGCCCAACGCGTAACACGCTTTCACGCGACGCGTCTAGCTTAGCTTTAGCTTTCACGAACAGCACATCCCACCATTTACCTCAATCCGCTATGAATCAATGAGCAGTTATTCAGCAGGCATACCATCCTCGTTCGACCCTGCACTTCTCTGCTCTGAATACGAGCTCCTCCAGGACGCGCCTCCATCACTTTCCTTCTCCGACGACATCGACGCATTACAGCAGTGCATTACCGAGAACACTGCTAGGAAGACCAAAGAGGGCGTCGTGATACAGCATCGAGCCTGGAAACTGACCGAAGCTTTTCGTAGCGAAGGAGAATTGACCCTCGGTAATAGATAGTTGGATGTCTATACGGTAGTGTACTAATACTGGCAGACACGCCCGCAAAGCGCAAGACGCGATCGCCCGTGAAGCGCTTTCCCACCGACTCTTCCACTGAAGGACGAGCTTTCCCTTCGTCGCCTCCACTATACAACATGCCGCTCATATCCTCTCCCATTGCCTACCCTCCCAGCTCGGACCTCACGCCGAAGAAGCGGAAGCGCCCCGACGAAGTGCGAGAGCCTCTCAAGGATGTCCAAAACAACAATGCTTCCCGCAAGATCGGCGGCTTCTTGGATGATTCCGACGACGAGGACGATATTGCGGCACTCAAAGAACACACCCTGAAGAGGCGGGCAATTAACACAGTCAAGGATCTACCTTCAATACCAGATGGCTTTGCCGACAACACACCACCGGCGAGCCAGGATGAGATGGCAGACCCCGAAAGCATACCTGTTGAAGACCTCGACAACTACAGCTTTGCATCACGATCGCAGTCACCAGTCAAGCGCCCAACCACGGCGGAAGCACCTACGTTAGCACAACCGCCGAGAGGTGTGGTAGCACGAAGCTCGAGCGGCAAGGCGATATACATTTCCAAAAAAGCGAAGAAGCAAGCAGTGTCATACGAACAACTCATTGCATCGCGATCTGTAGTTGAGGAGGGCAAAGCTAGGAAGAGCTACTATGGTCTCAACATCCACGAATTAATGGATGAGGCGAAAGCATTGGATGCTGAGAAGGCAGAGAGGCTGCCACAACCTGTAGACGACCTACCGCAACTCTCCGTGGAGCATGACACTACCCGCAATGGGAAGAGCAATCGGACGTTAATGTGGACCGAGAAATACCGAGCAAAGAAATTCACCGACCTGGTTGGCGACGAGCGAACACATCGATCAGTCCTTCGCTGGCTCAAAGCCTGGGATCCAATCGTCTTTCCAGGCTCAGCGAAGCAGAAACCAAAAGCCGCCAAGAAGGACTTTGCAGACGAGGAACAGCGACATCGCAAGATCTTGCTTTTGACCGGCCCACCAGGACTAGGAAAGACTACGCTCGCGCACGTATGCGCACGACAAGCAGGATATGAAGTGCAAGAAATTAATGCATCTGATGAGCGAAGTCGTGACGTGGTCAAAGGCCGGATAAGAGACATGGTTGGTACTGAGAATGTCCGAGGCGTTCACACAAACACCGCAAAGGGCAAGGTGCGAAAGGCTGGCAAGCCGGTATGCGTTGTCGTTGATGAGGTAGACGGTGTAGTCGGCGGCAGTGGTGGTGCAGGCGAGGGTGGATTCGTCAAAGCGCTCATCGACCTGATCGCTTTGGACGAGAAGAACTCGAAGATGGTCGGACAGGATCCAAGCACTGCAACTAGTAAAAGGAAGAAGGGCGACAAATTTCGCTTGCTGCGTCCCGTCATCCTGATCTGTAACGACCTCTATCACCCGTCTCTTCGTCCACTGCGTCAGTCCTCGATGGCTGAGATCGTCCGTATCCGGCATCCTGCGCTGAACATGGTCGTCACTCGCATGCAGGACATCTTCGTCAAGGAAGGCATCCAGTGCGACTCTGACGGCGTCCGGCGACTATGTGAAGCTACTTGGGGCGTCAGTACCAAGAAAGAAGGCGGCACTGGTAGTGGGACTGGCGAAGGCGATATCCGAGGTGTCATGGTCGTCGGTGAATGGGTAGCTGGCCGCTTGCGATCTTCACACGACAGCACATCGAAAGAAAAGCCACATCTCAGCCGGAAATGGGTCGAGGACAACTTCATCAACGATTTGCGTCATGGTGGAGGTTCAGCGCGAAGTTTGGGACGCGGTGGTGCGAAAGATGTGGTTGAGCGTGTGTTCAAGGAGGGCGCTGGTTTCCCGAAGCAAGCTGAGACCACAGACATGCGTACCGCAGCTGCGCGCGCAAAAGCTGGAGTGATCGGGGTTGCAGAAGGCGCCAAGCGCCGTGCCATGGATCGCCTTAGGGAGATGGTCGATACAAGCGGCGAGTGTGATCGAATCGTGACTGGTAAGATACCCACCATTACTTAAAGGTCATGAGGACTAACACATGATAAGACTGCTTCACTGCCTACCCGGAGAAGCCATTCCAAGACGATACCCTTCTGAGCAAACCATCCGCAGCGTACGAATGGCTGCACTTCCACGACACAATAAATTCCGCAGTTCATGGGTCACAAGAATGGGAGCTCGCGCCCTATCTGTCCAACTCGGTCCTGGCTTTCCACCACCTCTTTGCCTCTCCTCGCAAACAGAGCTCCGACGTCACGGCTGACCCAGATGCGCAGCCTTCGCCCTTCTCTGGACCGGGCGCCAATTTCGCAGCAGCTGAGCAATTCAAGGCAAACAGGTCACAGCTTATGGCATTACAGTCGTCTTTGAGCCTACATCTCACGCGAATGTTTCGCAGTCCCGAGGAAATGGCTCTTGAGCTCATTCCTTACACTCTTCGCATGTTATCGCCCGATGTAAAGCCAGTCATTGTCAACACTGGCGCTTCGGGGTCAAAATCCTTCGCTTCAGCCACAGTACGCAAGGCATCTGAAAAGGCACTTGTCAAAAAAGCTGTCGAGGCAATGGCTGCAACTGGTGTTCGCTTCGAGAAATCACGGATCGAAAACGACGATATTGTAAATCGAAGCGCTGGTTTCGTGTGGCGCATGGAGCCATCACTCGACGTAATGGGCACATTCGATACCATTGCAGGAAAGAAGGAAGAAAAGGTGCGCTATGCTGTACGCAGCGTCTTGGAGCAGGAATGGCGGATAGAGAGTGCACGCATCGATATGGACAATCGCAAACGTCGCGGAGGGCAGACTGAGGCTGATGAAGTCGAGGAGCAAAAAGAGGAAAAGACGACTGAAGAGAAGGTTGCAGAGGCAAATGCAAGAGCAGTAAAACGGGATTTCTTTGGTAGAGTGATCAAGGAAAAGCCACTGGCTGAGGGTGCTCAGCCAAAGAAGGCAGAGAACAAGGGCGGCGATGAAGGCAGGATCTGGGTCTCGTTCAACGAAGGCTACTCCAACGCAGTGAGGAAGCCAATCACTGTCGACGAGCTGCTGAGAGGATTATAGTAGGCCTTGTTCATAGGTTGATCAACATACACGGCATGATTAATTGTTCCATTGCACCGTTTCGAACGTTCTCGCCCTTGTGCCCAGGTCATGTGTCTGGGCTGTTTGCATCTTCAGCCCATAAGCCTATGTCTCTAGTACGGAAACTCCTCAGCATCATGACATTTCCTAGTTAGCGTGACCGCCTACTTTTGCCAGCCAGGCGCAATATTTAGCACCTCTAGGCAGAACTCGGAAAATAGAAGCGACAACTATACGAGGGCGACGAGCGAGTCAAAATGCATCTGACTTCTCAGCGTCGCCAGATGATTGGCTACTATTTGACAATGCGCCTCGTAGGGCTGAAAAGACGTCCCCGCCTCCTTCGATTGGGCGTGCGCGGGAGCCACATTACACATGCGAGTTGGACTGTAGATCAAGTATAATACTATCCGCCCAGCCAATGTAAGATTGTGCATCGATCAACATGGCGCCTCTCCAGCTCTACTTGTCTTACTATTCCTCCTACTTAATGTCGTTCTGGGGTCTAGTATTTTCTCGACTGTATACATCTCAAGAACTCTCGAAGCGCGATTTGACTGGCCGTGTAGCTATTGTGACAGGTGCAAACAGCGGTCTAGGTCTGAGCATTGCGACGCATTTGACGAGGCAGGGTGCGACAGTATACCTTGCCTGTCGCAGCCCAGAGCGAGGTGCGAAAGCGGTTGACGAGATTGTTAGCAAGGTCGGAGACAAGAGCAGAGATAGACTGCATTGCTGGAAACTCGACACGAGCGATCTGTCATCCGTCCGAGCATTCTGTGACCGCTGGCAGCAAGATGGCGGGCATAAAATCGACATGCTCGTCCACAACGCCGGCATCGCTGTAGTCCCAGCAAACTTAACGGTCTCAGAAGGAAACGACCTCATCCTCACC